CTGCCCTCTCATTCATTGATCTGCTAACCGTTATGCTCATGTGTCCTCTGATAATAATAGCTTTCTAAGATTAAACATTATTTGGATAATTGGTAAAAAAATAAAAATATCTTAATTTAACCCTACTGTTAGACCTACCTGAAAAACTAAAAGGCGATTTATTTAATTCGAAGGCCTGTCGTAATTTTTTATTTGTGCTACCATTATTAATTTCTTTATTTGTTCGTATTTTATTACTGACTGCTTACTTGGCATTTTTTAATTCAATTCAAAGTTTGAAATCAAGCTATCTCGTGCTACTGCACCAAAATTACCCCACTGTAAAATTAGAAAAACACTGAGTGAGCAAAAATGTGTGAGATAGCTAGTTATAATGGTAATTAAATAATGTTTACATATGTATAAAAGCCTACATTAAAATATGTCATATAAATTGGTCTCTCCATTAGAAATTAGCCTACTGATTGCCACCATTGATGGACAAAAAGATCTGTATGACATTATATTCTGCAGTTCTTCCCTGTTGTACCGAATATCTATACTTTTCAAATTATCATATCGAAGTTAGAAATTCAAATATTGTGACAAAATTAATTTTGTAGGGTGCCACAAGTTTGTTAAAATTTCCAAAGGGTGCCGCGACTAAAAAAAGGTTGGGAAACACTGACCTAGACCACATGGGCCACTGGATAATGTTAACCGCTACACAGATGTAGTCTTGCCATTATTATTAATATTGTTATTATTTTCTTATTCTTGTTAAATAGAGGGATGCATGATTGGATTTTTAATTTCTCCTATTTTTTTTTTCAACATTGCCTTTGAATTATCTAGTGGTCACTTAAAGTAAATAATATAATATAATAATTATTTCTAGTGTTTTATTTGTATTTTTACTTATTTATTTTGACATTATATTATTCACTTAAATTGATTTTTTAAAAAGCTAATAGTTCAATAACACCGTTAAATGTAATTTATAGCAAGTACTGAAATTAATTCAAAATGTATTTAATTTTTCGTATTGTACATTTTAGCAGTGATGCTTAAATATTATATATAATAGTAGTGTTTTGTTTATATTGTTTAATTTTTTTATTTTAACAATATATTATAGAATGTAATTAACATCAGTGCATAACATGAAAATAATCATTGGCTTGTCTGTATTAGCCAAAATTTATTTTTATTTCCATTTTAATATCGCATTATAGAAGTAAAATGGTCTAACACTGTCACTTTTTTTTTCTTATATCTATTTCCTTTTTTTTGTCTGTATTTTTATTTTGAATACAATTGATCAAGCTTGTAGCATTAAATAAATGACTCTCATTACGCCTAATGAATGCATAGGATATTTAGTTTCATGGTTTTTGCCGTAATGCATATTTGATTGCTACATTAATTGCCTGCATACACCTGTGTAATGCTAATGCACTCCCTCCAAAACTTTTCAAGTTCCACTGCAATCAAAGTACAGAAAACTGTAGAGAATCGTATTCCCAATTGTGACGATACCACGGAGTCTAACTTTTTCTGAGAGCCTTCTCATTTGAAAGAGGCCTTTGATGTCTCTAGTCGCTGGAGCTCTGCTTAAGTGAACTGTAATCTCTGGCATTAAGACTCGCTCTATCTTTATCTCCATCCCTGAAACATGAAATGAATTACCACCAAATTTTCCCCTCTCTCAATTTGGCCCTCACCTTGCAATAGGGGTCATTTCCTTAATTGGGCCCTTGATTTACCCAGCCATTTATAACCTTTTTGTGTCTTCAGGGGAGAATAGCACAATAATCAATATTTAATTTTTTTCTGAACAGAGGTGAATGTAAAGTTTGACCCCGTGCACTTGTTTTTGTGACCCGGACAGAAGGAAGTACATTCTAATTTTTCTGTCTGTATTTTTACATCCTCCTTCAAATCTTAATCCTTATCGTGCCGCTAAAATAGCACAAAATCTGTTCCGGAGAAAGCAGAAATGCGGCACATTAGTGTAATTTTGTAGGCTGAATGGCTCTTTATTCCTTCTCAAAAAGAAAAGCTTTTTTTTCTTAAACGCATCTTAATGTGAGTAAAGTCGTCTTACGTTGACAGCGCTTGTCCAACCTGCTTACCCTGACATGCTGAGATCGGTTTTCTCTTGCGCTTTAAGGGTGTATTTATAGAAACGTTGCATTAAGCCTGTGCTGTGTTTTGTTTATTTGTTGCTTTTTTAGGTACAAGCATTTCTTGAGGGACTTGACAGAGAACACCAGTCCAGACAACCCGGAGTTTCAGCAGCTTTCAAGTAAGAGGCACCACCGTCTCGCAATTCGACAAACACTCTCTTATCCTGTTAGCGCTCTGTGACAAAAATGTTGATGGGTTTAGCCTGTCTAGATGTTTTTTTTTTATTATCTGTTTATTGTCAGGATCTGTATCAAGCTGCGGAATCACATTCACCCAAAGTCACACTTGTTATGCTTGTCAAATTTGCTTTCCACTCTAGTTTGTCACTTACAGAGCAACCTAAAAAGAGATCACTCAATGTGTTTGTGATGATGAGGTGCTTTGCGGAGATAAGCTTTGCGGAGGATACCATGGCCTGTTGAAGAAGGTGCAAATGCTGAAATCGTTTCATACGGTGCCAAAACAAACCTGCGTCTTAAAGGGAAAAAAGTTTTTAAGCTGGCAGCCGAAAAGACAGCCTCCCTTGTCTTTGTTAGGGTGACAAAGAACAACTCTGGGCCCCTGTTGTAGCACTCACGTGTTGTTATTGTCACCGGGTGGCTTTGCTCGCTGAGGATGAAAGTACGGAAAAGCTTAACGCGAGTCTAAATTCTCGATGTAGATTTTGACATAATTAATAGGGACCAGATCAGAGGATATCAACCATGCAAAATATAAATAAATAAAATCTCCGGCATCAACAGAAGCCCCAATAATGACTCATTTCTATCATCAAATAAACAGCAAATCTGACTTAAGAGCCAGTGTACACAAGGAATTATTTATGTGTATCAATTAAAATCTCATTGGTTGCTTGCTGCTTTTGCTTACAAATTAAAACAGCCCCTGATTCTAAGATGAAGGTACATATCCAGATTTGCCCCTTTCCCCCCCCCCCCCCCCCCCAATTTATTGCTCTTTTTATTTTTCTCATCACACATGCAGCGAAACGCCACTGTTTTAATTATCATAATTGCAGCGTTCGTCAATCGCGTACGTTTTGGAGCACTAACTTCTGCATTTCCCTACAGCCAAGTATCTCCTCAACTCGTTCGCGAAGACTGCCAAAGGTTAATTAAAAAAAGTTAACACTCGAGAACTCCTCGGACCGAGATCTGTTTAAACATACTGAATGTCTAAAATAAAAAGACAGAGAGAAAATGTTCGTAGAATGTGGAATGAGATGGTATTAATAATGCATCAGCCGTAGCTCTGTTGAAACACAATTATAGAGAGGGTTTTCTTAAAAGGGAAGGACTGAGAGAGGCCCAGTCATCTCTAAACAGTCACTTTGTTTGGTTTTGCTTGTAATTGTTCTAAAGATAAGCAACTCAATTAGGCTGTGATTATTTTACTATGAGGCAAACGCCCCGAGCGCTGTGTTCATTGTCTGAATTGTTAGAGTCAATAAGACCAAAGCTGGGTTTAAAATTAGTATCCATCTGCT